ACAAGACCAAAACAGAACCCTCAGAATGGGAGAAAATATTTGCAAATGAAGCAACTGACAAAGGATTAATCTCCAAAATTTACAAGCAGCTCATGCAGCTCAATAACAAAAAAACAAAAAACCCAATCCAAAAATGAGCAGAAGACCTAAATAGACATTTCTCCAAAGAAGACATACAGACTGCCAACAAACACATGAAAGAATGCTCAACATTATTAATCATTAGAGAAATGCAAATCAAAACTACAATGAGATATCATCTCACACCAGTCAGAATGGCCATCATCAAAAAATCTAGAAACAATAAATGCTGGAGAGGTTGTGGAGAAAAGGGAACACTCTTACACTGATGGTGGGAATGTGAATTGGTATAGCCACTATGGAGAACAGTATGGAGGTCCCTTAAAAAACTAAAAATAGAACTACATTATGACCCAGCAATTGTACTACTGGGCATATACCCTGAGAAAACCATAATTCAAAAAGAGTCATGTACCAAAATGTTCATTGCAGCTCTATTTACAATAGCCAGGAGATGGAAACAACCTAAGTGTCCATTAGAGGATGAATGGATAAAGAAGATGTGGCACATATATACAATGGAATATTACTCAGCCATAAAAAGAAATGAAATTAAGCTATTTGTAATGAGGTGGATGGACCTGGAGTCTGTCTTATAGAGTGAAGTAAGTCAGAAAGAGAAAGACAAATATCATATGCTAACACATATATATGGAATTAAAAAAAAATGTCATGAAGAACCTAGGGGTAAGACAGGAGTAAAGACACAGACCTACTAGAGAATGGACTTGAAGATATGGGGAGGGGGAAGGGTAAGCTGTGACAAAGTAAGAGAGTGGCATGGACATATACACACTACCAAATGTAAAATAGATAGCTAGTGGGAAGCAGCCGCATAGCACAGGGAGATCAGCTCGGTGCTTTGTGACCACCTAGAGGTGTGGGATAAGGAGGGTGGGAGGGAGGGAGATGCAAGAGGTAAGAGATATGGGAACATATGTATATGTATAACTCATTCACTTTGTTATAAAGCAGAAACTAGCACACCATTGTAAAGCAAATATACTCCAATAAAGATGAAAGAAAGAAAGAAAAGAAAGAAAGAAAGAAAGAAAGAAAGAAAGAAAGAAAGGAAAGAAAGAAAGGAAGGAAGGAAGGAAGGAAGGAAGGAAGGAAGGAAGGAAGAAAGAAAGAAAAAGAAAGAAAGAAAGAAAGAAAGAAAGAAAGAAAGAAAGAAAGAAAGAAAGAAAGAAAGAAAAAAAAGAGAAATAATGGTCCTGTTTGTTAACATGTCCAAGTTTCAAGGACAGAAATAACATTTTCAGTAGAACAGAGGAAGTATATAAGTACAGTTTTCTACTTTAGCATTATCCTTTCATTTCAAAGAAATCTAGAAAATCAATCAATTCATGTTATGTAAGTGTAAATAAATATGAATAGGTACTTAATTAAAAACCTATTTTGAAAAAGGAGAGAATAAAGAAGCACAATAAGTATTTGATAAACTGAACTGAAGAGGGAAATGACAGATCTTAGCTCTAGAAGGACCTTAGACTAAGATGAAATTTCTTGAACTTTCATTTTATTGATATAGAATAGAAGGGAAAAGTCCAAGAGGAAGAAAAGAGAACGTGAACTTCTGCTCCCATGTAAATGGTTCAAAGTTAGGTTAATTACCAGGGAATGAGTCTCAGGTTTGCTACTACTGCAGAACTGAGCCCTCAGATGGCCTCATTCAGACACCCACATAGCCCGCTCTTCCTTTAGCACTACATCAGTTACCTGTGAGCCAAAAGCCAAGGAATCCCAGAGCACTACGCCCCACATATTTTTTTTTTCAATATTGCTTTGTAGAATAAAAAAGAAGGCAGGCCTAGGCTGATATTAAGCATGTGAGGGCTTCCCTGGTGGCGCAGTGGTTGAGAGTCCGCCTGCCGATGCAGGGGACGCGGGTTCATGCCACGGTCTGGGAGGATCCCACGTGCCGCGGAGCAGCTGCGCCCGTGGGCCATAGCCGCTGAGCCTGCGCGTCCGGAGCCTGTGCTCGGCAACGGGAGAGGCCACAGCAGTGAAAGGCCCGCGGCCCTCGAACCGCAAAAAAAAAAAAAAGCATGTGAAGTTTAAATACTTCTCCTAAACAGAAACAATAGCCTATTGCCATTAAGATTGATTCCCATTTCCTAAGGTTTGAAAGGCTCTTTGACCAGATTTAATCAGAGGGTTTTATATGAGAGAACAAAATATCTGAAGTAATGCAAGTCTCAGATAACATTTAAGTCCAATGTACTATTTTGAGACTTTCAATTGAAGACGGTTAGCAACAATCCTTTTTCAACTCCTGTAAACTGCTACACCTACCCTTCTTTAAAGAATCCCATCATGCCCTCATGTTGCTCAGTGGAAATGGTAGAGGTGGGGTATCTATTCATTGTACCATTAAGTAAAAGCAAAAAGATTACCTTCTGATTTTACCACCCCCATCCCTGCCTTGGACTCTTCCAGGACCATAATTTACTCTGAGATAATGTGCTTATTCCACAAGTGCTTAAATTTGAGTAGCTTAGATCCTCTCTAAATCATACTTCAGACACAAAAAAGAATGTATAGAAGAGTCTGGATATACTAGTTAGAAATTGTTATTCTAGACCCCTCCCCACCAAAAAAATTAAAACATAAGGTAAAACTTGTAAGGAAAGGAAATTCTAAATACAAAGCAAATGTCAGTCACTTTCAAATGATCTACTTGTTTGTTCTTTATCCATCTGTCTCTCTACTCCTTTCTGGGAAGGGCCCTTACTTCCTCATCTTAAATGGCTCCTGGTTAGTACTAAAAGATAAAAATAAGCCAGTCAAATCACAACTCCTGGTCACTTCCTAGAATGAGGAGGTGTAACACAAACACAGTCCAGGACAAAAGAAGGAAGCGTTCTTGTGATACATATACCATAGGATATGCTGAAACACTGTGTCAAATTTATACGAATTTTTGATAGTTAAGAAAAGTTCACATTTGCTATCATTCCCTTAAGCCATGTCTTCTATACTCCCAAAGGATATTAATTTACTCTCTTTTGCCACCAGGAGTATTTCATTGTGAAAGTCCAAGAAGTACCGGTACAGGGGAAAATAAAAACCCAGCAACCCTGAACCTGGTGTCATACCATGGGGGTTAAAGTCCCAGATCTACTCCCGACATACTAACCATGTGACCTTGGCCATCTCACTTACCTCTCATTTTCTTGACTGAGATCACACCACTTATGATTTTCTGTACCTCTTAAAATATAAGTTTCTATTCAAATGCAAGGTGTAAGAAATATTTTATTTATGATCTAAGTGTTTTAGTCTAAGGCAAATGATATAGAAGCCCTGAAAAAATATAAACTTATACTTCAAAAAGCATGATCTTGCTCCCATGTTAAATTTTCCTTCCTTCTATTGCATTAAAAGAAATATGAAAAAAAAGAGAGATATGAGATTAGTGGAGCAACACATAGTTTTCTGTAGTGTCATGGGATGGAAAAAACTAAGCGTGAGTAATTGGTAGTTAAAGTTATAAGGAGTTACAAAAGACTATACTTAACCCCTTGAGAAGAAGCAAGAATGGTCCTAGGAATTAAAAGAAGATTGGATTCCTTCCTGATAATTGTTGGAGAGGCCAAGACCAGGGCATAACAAGTTGGTCCTCCACAACTATGCTGCTTTGGCAAACAAAAATTTTTCTAGTTCACTGTCTGATCAAAATGTTAAAAATGGATCTGTCCACCAAAAGGTAGGAAATCTGCAGTGCAAATAAGTAGAGGACCTGGATGACAAGTTCAAAGATCACCAGACACTGCAAGAAAAGCAAGTATTTCAGGACAGCAGAGTAATTTGCTAATTTGGAAGTGCAGTGGCACAATGCTACTTTATTTAGGCATTCTTTGACAAATCCAAACATGTGAGTAAAAGTAAAATTAACTGTCAAAAAGGGAGAACATTTTCAAATGTTCTCAGCTAGAGCTTAGTGGTATTGAGGGGCTTTCTTTTCCTCCCAATAGCAATAGCACATTGTTGGCCCAAGTGAAGCTGTTATTTGTACAAAAACCTTTTGGACAATCCATGAAACAGAGTTGGTCAAACTAACTCTTGAGATAAGGACCCTGCAAATGGTTATAAACATATGATCTGCATTACAGTTAGTCTTGGACAAAATGATCTTTATCAGATTTTGTCTTAAGTTTATCCAAGTCTTGACATTTGAATATTGTTTTTGCTCCAAAAAAATTAATGTGCTAATAACAGTTTTTTGAAATAGAGACAACTACAGAGATTATAGATGAACATTTATCTTCAGTTATCATAACACTAGTACAGTTTTAATAGAAGGTTGGAGGTAATATCTATTTAAATTAAATTAAGAAAAAGAAAAGAAGTTTACTTTTTCTGAGAAAGCAAATTGATATTTTTCTTTGATTTCCTTATACCTTGGAATGAAGGTCTGCTATTAAAACTTTCAATAAACCTTTAAAGTAAACTATGCTATAAAGCAATATTAAGTTTGGTCTTTAATGAGCCATTTTTGCTATTTTATAGGCATTCTAAAATGATAATGCATCCCCTAGTCACACTCTCCTAATACTGCCAACAAAGACATGGGGATGCATATCCATTGTCAGACAACATGGTACATGGAACACAAGCTGAGTTCTTGTACCGTCATTGACACTAATAAGCTCTGTGATCCTTAACCTCTCTTGATCTCAATTTTCTTCATTGTAAAACTAATGTACTTGAGGAGATTGTGTTTCTAATTTTTATTTGTTCAGTCTAGATAATATTTAGTGTGCACTTAATTTCATGAACTCCCCTAAGAACCTGTAGCCCATTAGTGGTGACCTCCGAACAACACACTCTTTAAGAATCTTACCAAAATTCTTTATTCTAGAGGTGGGGCAAAGAAGGGGAATGGGGAGGAAAGACATACAAACACTACTTACTTTTCAAAAAAATGTCTGATAATTATCAAGACAAAAGCATATGGAATGGTCATACATAAATGAGAGGGTTTCACAAAGACGAGTCCATCATGATCTTCAAGATCTGACCACTTTATTGTTGGAGGAAGCCAGAATCTTTCCAACCAAAACCATTCTTTAAACATCTGAAACATTCTAGAGAGATGGAAAAAGAATACATTAGACTTATAGAACAAATACTTAAAATTGAGACAACATTGACACCTTTAATCAAAATACCTAAACCCGAGAGTTTAGAACACAGGGTACTATTATTGAACAGAACGGAGTACTATTATTTACCGGGCTTCATGGAGCTTCATTGCATTAAACAGGAATTACTCTGCCAACACTCTCAGAAGAATTTCGGCTGTGGCATGGCAAACTGAAGTTTAATACACCACTGTTCACACTCTTGGCACAACATGTGTTAATATTATGGGTATGTGTCTTCCTCTTATATGTTTCTATCATATGAAAATTAATCTAACAATAATCTCTACAACTTCAACATGCCAAAGGCCAACCTCATGAAAGTTCCAAGTATGTATAAACCTTCGCTAGTATCCTAAGAACTTCTCCAGGAGATAAAGGGCAAGCATATTTAACTTTGTATTACAATAAAGAATTCAAATTAGTCCATGTCAACAAATATTTACAGAGATTCTATTATTTGTCAAGCCCTGTGCTAGGCACTGAGGATGCAAAGATTAAAAAGACAGCGTTCTTGCCTTAAGGACCTTATATTCTGTGGGCAAGGCAGGCCTGACAGACGACTCTGACACACTTTTTTCAGGTACAATGAAACAGGTTTGTAGTGGGTGCTGTGGGAACAAGGTGACCAGCACTGAGCCCAGCCAAGATGCGTCGGGAAAGCCCACTGGAGCAGATGATATTGAACAATGTTCAAGATGTCTTAAACGGTAAGTGGAAGTAAACCAGAGAAAGGCAGGAAAATGGGAAAGAGGGAATAGAAGTTTTAAGGAGAGAAAGTACACTGATCAAGTAACCAGAAACATAGAAGAACATTTAGATGCTCCAATCTCATCATTTAGGCTATGACAATTTTAATCTTGACATTTTGACCTTGAGGATGTTTTGATGTAATCCTTTAACAGTTAATCAGACAAAGAAGTCAAACGTCCACAGATTCACAGCAGGGTGGTCAAAATAACTCTGTCAAAACCTCTTGATTTGTAAATACCACGTGCCCATGGAACACCACCAGCAGTGTGGTTCCACCACAGCCTAAGAATCCAAGGTGTGGGATGCTGGGTCACACACAAGTGCCCAGAGTCTCGGTTTATTGTCCTGGCATAATTAATAATAGTGCCCCTTCCTTTCATAAGTGTCCCAGTTTGGGTAATAAATCATACAGTAACTCTCATCAAAAGGCTGGTGAGGGCTTCCCTGGTGGCGCAGCGGTTGAGAATCTGCCTGCTAATGCAGGGGACACGGGTTTGAGCCCTGGTCTGGGAGGATCCCACATGCCGCAGAGCAACTAGGCCTGTGAGCCATAACTACTGAGCCTGCGCGTCTGGAGCTTGTGCTCCGCAACAAGAGAGGCCACGATAGTGAGAGGCCCACGCGCCATGATGAAGAGTGGCCCCCGTTTGCCACAACTAGAGAAAGCCCTCACACAGAAATGAAGACCCAACACAGCAAAAATAAATTAATTAATTAATAAACTCCTACTCCCAACATCTTCTTAAAAAAAAAAAAATGGCTGGTGAGACAGTTCAGACTTGGTCACAGAGTGTCTGCAATCCAGGCTAAGGAGCTTGGGCTTTAACCAATGGAACCCAGGAAGAGTATTATGCAGAGGAATAAAATAATCAGATATTTTAGAAAGGTTGCTTGGGCAGCCAGGTCCTCTGAGAGCCCACGTGGTATCTTTGTGTCGATTACAGGATGGTGTCCCCTCTGGGCAGACACAGCCCTTCTTGCCAGCAGAATGAGATCTGGGTTTCAGCCTCCAGAACCCTCGGCCAGGCACACACATGGCTGCTCTCTGGCAGCAATATGGAGTACATTTCAGGACACAGGAAGACTGAAGAGCAATTAGGAGTTTGAAGCACTAAATATGGTCAGAAATTGGAAGCTGCAGAGAGCAGTGGTATCAGGCAGCTGAACCTGCTGATCACGCCATTTATGAGATTACACGTGAGATCTAAACTGGGTAGAGAATAAAGAGAGGCCAAGAAAGAAATGAGAAGGAGGGAAAAAAATACAAAACTCAAGGGACCAGAGGCCAAAGAACAAGTCTGTTGGAAGTGGGACCCAAGAGAGCGGAAAGACTCAATCAGAGATGAGGATCAGAGTTGAGTATCAGCATTACAGATTTCTGATTTCAGATGAAGAAGAATTCCAGAGTGTGGACATCAATATGCTTCAGAAAAATCCACACCAAAACCAAATAACTAACCATGGTGAGATATTCCCTACTTTATTTCATTTCTCATCTGCTGCTCAGAGACACGTGCGTGCAAAGTAGCAGGAAACTGGTCACACCCACACCTGCAAGCCTTGTGTGGAGAAGGAGAGGGGCTGCCTTCTTTTTCATGTATTAATCATTTTACTGTAACTCCTACCCTGGAGGAGGGTAAGTAGCATTAATACAGTCGCAAAATTGTGCAAATATGGTGGAATAAAGATCATCAGGAAATATTTACTGAATACTTCCTATCAGTCTTTGGGTCTACAGAAAGGAAAGGGATGATCCTAGACTTCAGGGAGCTTACAACTGAGCCAGGACTGACCTGGATTTGGACTAGGGAGGAGACAGTGAGAACTGATGAAAGAGTTGTTAGGAAGGAAGAATTAACACACTTTGGCAAGGGAGCTGAGGATTCCAGCCTGGCTGCCTGGGCCATCTGACATAACTAACCAAAGAGGGAATTAAGAGAGGAAATCTGCATTGAAGTGCACAGCCGGATTGGGTCAGAACAAGAGCAGGCACAATTCTTTGAGTGAGACTACAGCTAAAATTCAAAATTCCTACAGATCTTAGAAATGAGCCCAGGTCACGGGAGTCTCTCCTGTAACGGACAAACCTTGTACCGTGCCTGTGTCCCTCACTGCATCAGAACGACCTACTCCTGCAAGGGGAAGTCTATTTCTTCCTAAAAGTTTGCCTTAGCATGTTCATTACTATATTAGCTCCAAATTTAATAGACTATGACTCAGGGAACAAATAGCAATGGCAGTGAGTTAGTTTTGATACTATTATAATAATCATTATACAAAATAGTTTGCTCACTCCTAAAATGTAACTCCAGGCAGTAAAGATTATTTTGTCCAGTGTGAAATATAACTAAATAAACAGCTTACAATGGTTATATAGGGGTTGCCACGCTAAATAATATGCAAGCAATGAAAAAAGATTTGTTGAAAGCCTAATAACTTTAATATCAAACAACCAAAAACATATATGGGGAGAGAGAAAGAACTCAGAAGTTAAGGGTGGCCCCCGGGTATATGTAGTTCAAATTGAGAAAAAAAATCTACACTATTTCCTCTTTCTTCATGTGCTGCCACCAAACATCAATTACTGCTGCTTCAAAAGAGTTAAGAATCTCTTCTTCACAGGACATACAAAAATTAACTCAAAATGAAGCACAGATCTAAATATAAGGGCTAAAATAATAACACTCTTAGAATATTATATAGGAGTAAATCTTCAACACCTGGGGTTAAGCAAAGCCTTCTTGCATATGACACCCAAAGCACAAACAACAAAATAAAAAATAGATAAATCGGACTTCATCAAAATTAACACGTTTTGTGTTTCAATGGATACCATCAAGAAAGTTAAAAGACAATCCATATACAGAGTGTGGAGAAAAGGGAACCCTCTTGCACTGTTGGTGGGAATGTAAATTGATACAGCCACTATGGAGAACAGTATGGAGGTCCCTTAAAAAACTAAAAATAGAACTACCATACGACCCAGCAATCCTACTACTGGGCATATACCCTGAGAAAACCATAATTCAAAAAGAGTCATGTACCAAAATGTTCATTGCAGCTCTATTTACAATAGCCAGGACATGGAAGCAACCTAAGTGTCCATCGACAGATGAATGGATAAAGAAGATGTGGCACATATATACAATGGAATATTACTCAGCCATAAAAAGAAATAAATTGAGTTATTTGTAGTGAGATGGATGGACCTAGAGTCTGTCATACAGAGTGAAGTAAGTCAGAAAGAGAAAAACAAATATCGTATGCTAACACATATATATGGAAGCTAAGAGAAAAAAAAAAAGGTCATGAAGAACCTAGGGGCAAGAAGGGAATAAAGACACAGACCTACTAGAGAATGGACTTGAGGATATGGAGAGGGGGAAGGGTAAGCTGTGACAAAGTGAGAGAGTGGCATGGACATATATACACTACCAAACGTAAAATAGATAGCTAGTGGGAAGCAGCCGCATAGCACAGGGAGATCAGCTCGGTGCTTTGTGACCACCTAGAGGGGTGGGATAGGGAGCGTGGGAGGGAGGGAGACGCTAGAGGGAAGAGATATGGGAACATATGTATAACTCATTCACTTTGTTATAAAGCAGAAACTAACACACCATTGTAAAGCAATTATACTCCAATAAAGATGTTAAAAAAAAACAGACAATCCATCGAATGGGAGGAAATATTTGAAAATCATATATCTGATAAGGGACTTGTATTTAGAATATATGAAGAACACTTAGAACTCAATAATAAAAGGACAAATAACCCAATTTAAAAATGGGCAAAGGATCTTGAATAGACATTTCATCAAAGAAGATATACAAATGGCCAATAGGCACATGGAAAAATGCTCAACATCATTAACCATGAGGGGAATGCAAATAAGAAACAAACCCAGAGATATCCTTCATTATACCCACTAAGATGGCTATAATCAAAAAGATAACAATGTTGGCAGGATGTGGAGAAATTGGAACCCTCATATATTGCTTGAGGGAAAGTAAAATGGTGCAGCTGCTGTGGAAAATAGTCCGCAGTTCCTTGAAATGTTAAACACGGAGTTATCATATGACCCAGCAATTCTACTCCTAGGTATATACTCAAGAGAATTGAAAGGATTCATGCTACGACATGGATGGCTCTTGAAAACATGCTAAGTAAAAGAAGCCAGGCAGAAAAGGCAC